AATCTGACTCGTCATGCACTTGGAATCTTTAATTGCATTTCTTTTATACAACAACAACAACCACAACAATAATAACAATAATAATAATAACAAAATAATAAACAATAATGAAACTAACACATGAAGAGTGTCATGAAGCGCGTCTGAGCTCAAATTCGGTTGGGATATTCTGGTGATGCGATGATTACAAACCTCGATCATTCGCAACTTCAAATAAACGAAACATTATTTGACGAATAGGACGACCGACCAGGACAACAGCGATACAGCATAAATAACAGATAGACAGACCTGTTTAGAGGGGACTTTAACGAGTTGCGATACAGCATCGAGCATTTCCGATACCTTGCCATCTGCACTGTACCGAATCGTGAACTAAAATCGCACATCAACTCACTCACATTAACACATCTCTCATGTCAATTACAATACATAAACTCTAAGAATGACAACTTACTCAAGCACAAACAAACCAGCAAATTAACTGATGAAACAGACCTTCACAGGTTTCAGACAGGTGTCAATCGGCCAGAAATAAATACTCGATGAACGTTTCTCTTTCGGGAACGGCACGGCTAGATAGAGGAACGGATCGAACGTGATCGACACCTAAATAACTCATGTAAAAATCTATGAAAATGATGATGAGTAAAGCAACTTTACAAGGGAGAGTAAAGCAACGAACCTGATGACATTGAGGACATTGCAATCGTGATTTCAGTTGTCCATGAAACAGATCCACGAACAACGAATCGTTTCTCAACAAATAATTTTTCCATGCCTCATTCGACACCTGCAAGTGACTCTTTACCATATTTTCCTTACCACAACACTTACTAATCAGCATACGCAATAACCCACCTCAATATCAGCTCTTCCATTCGCTTCCACTGTACTCGTATACGGTTTTGTTTTCACACGATTCAAATCTTCGTGCAGTCCATCGATTAGAAAACTCAAGAACTCGTGCGCATCGTGCTGTGCGAAATTCGCGAATTGTGGCGCTTTTTCAGCAACCAATTCCTTGAATTGAATTCAATTGAATTGAATGTAGTCCATCGATATACATCGATAATCAATAACTTAATCCAATCTTAATCAAACCTTAATCTTGGTCGGTTCAATTGCACCATTCATACCACTCCACATCTGTTTCATAAACTCAGCAAACGCCTCGGCTAAACGTCCACCGAACCCGAGTGGATTCGTTTTATTCACGTCTTTTTTGTAATAATCACCTTCAATCGTTCACATTATCATTTTCAATTCAATGTCAATAATAATGACAACAGACAACAACTTATAAACAAACCGACCAGTAAAAAACAACTGCAATTCTTTAC